CTAAAACGACTAAAACGACTGGCGCCTTATAGCCTCGGGAGTCGCGAGTCATGAGCCGCATAGCGTGATTTTATTTCTACCCACATGATATTTTACGATTGATGGATAACGTTAACGTAGCTTTATTCACAGAAGTCAGATAATTATAACCAATTCAAGACTTTGTTTTTTGGGAATTATTTGTTTCTTTAATATAAAAATGAATGGATACAGAACACAACAGTCAAAGTATTTTATGAAATTCTAGCGTCTGATATTGTCGTTTGACCATAACATGATAATGATGAATGAAACATACTATTTATGAACGTATTAAGTGGAGGTCTACAGTCTCTGCCTACCCCTGAATGGGTGACAGACGAGATTTTTATGTATATATTTGTTCTATGTATTACAGATAAATTGTATCTCACTACTGTGCACGGGTTTCTAAAGAAGTTTAAACAAAAGTACCAGGACTTCATAATAAGAAAAGTGGTTACAGATCAATATTACACAAAATAAAAAAAGGGCACGCTAGAACTATTTTCCATAGACTTTTAAATATTGGTTGTATTTCATTATTTTAATTTACTCGCAGAAAAAGTATTGTATGCAATAATTATATTATTAGGTCTTAAAATCTCGTACCTATTGCTTAAATCACTCTTTGAATCCCAATTTTTATTATAAGTAAATAAACGGGATTATTTACTACATACTTCGTGATTTTTATTTATAAACTTCGGGCTTAATAAGACTAAAATAGGTATAAGTCCATTGCAAACAACTCGAGTCGTTTAAGTCGTTTAAGTCTTTTAATATAACGACTGAGTCTTATTAATAAAAACTCGAAACTCGAACTCGCCTTAAAAGACTAAGTCGTATTCTAGAACTCTACTCAATGCTCAAGTCAGGATTGCACTGGAAACACAAGCACTGGAAATGCGACCCTAATGGCAGGGACTTGAGTATGATTTCGAGTGCTTTAAACCATACTCAAACCCTGACTTGAGCATTGAGTAGAGTTTTAGAATACGACCCTGAGTCTCTTTCATCGCTAGTCGTAGCCGTGGGTTAGCGTAGCGAGAGACATATTTTAATGAGAAACGAGGAAAATAAACATAAATAAAACTTTACTACGTGTATTCAGATCGAAGCTTCTTCTAGAACAACCAGGATTTTAATTTTTTTACAATGTTCTTTTTTATGTAATTCTAATTACAAACCTACAAATTCATTCCGCCGGTACTAACACAAATTATACAGACTAGTGTACAGTAACTACGTAGTTGCTATTAAGGAAGACTCTACTGATATGTCTTAAATATATTATTTTACTTCCAATGTACCTACACTGAGCGTGATAAATAATGTTCTTAATAATCCTATAAAGGCATCTAAAAGCTACTGCATTTAGTATGACCTTAGGCGTCCTGTTACAGCGTAAAGTAATTCAAACTAGAACGTTTGTTTCGTTTTTGAACGACATCGCCCCGAGCTCAGTCCCTTGTTCATCAAACGAATTCCTTATCTCACAGACACAAGTAAATAAAAGCATTTTATTGTATTATTCCGTTTGTAATAAAAAATATTCTTTTAGTCTAGAAAACAATTAAATATAAAAGCTTAATTTATCTTTTACTTCCTAAACAAAGAATGAGATGTATAAAAATAAGAAAAATGCCCGAGAGAAAAAATACTATCTACCAATGATGCTAGCTATTTTATCTGACTCTTTGTTTTAAACGTTTTTTATATGGATACGAACGAAGTTAATAATCTACGCAGCGCAGTAGAAATATATCAGATAAATAACAATTAATAATGTATGTATGAACATATATAAAAATGTATTTAAAATATATTTAACACTAATTAATGTATTCTACACAAATACTAGTGGCGAACGGCGCATCTGCGTTGCGACACATGTCAAAGAAGGCATTCATAAGCTTGCACATGAGTTGCAACAGCTGAGAATGAGAAACCTGTTCTATGATTTCCTTTACAAACGCTGGTATAATCAACATATTACATGCGCCAGATTTAAATATGCCAGAATATCTTCACAATATATTGAAATTTACTATGCAGACTGTAGTGTTCTCCAGGGTTATGGACTAGGCCCTAATATCTTCTCTGTTGAACAGACACGCAACTATGTGGGACATGATACAATTATAAGTTATGTGCTACACACAAACCAAACCCTGTAGTAATATCCTCAATAGAGTTATAGTAACACAAGTTTGAATAATTAAATGTATATATGAATGTTGATAGTCAAGTGTCAAAGTGCCATCGAAAAACGATGATAAAATACGTACAGTCGTTTCGATATTCAGAGTTACATACGGCAATGCTCATTTGTGACGTCACACTTTGTTAATGGAATGCTAGCTACAAAACTAAGGGCCATTTTGCACCACGTTAAACATTAACATCTCTAATATTAGTTGAACCAAACTTTAGCATATTCATGTGAGTTGATTGATACAATAAAAATGAGTCAACTACCAGAATAACACAAAGAAAGACTAATGAACTGATCAATAAAAACGCTCGTTCGTCAATAATAATGGGCCTCGAAATCAAACGTCAGAAGTGGAACTATTCAAAACTTCGAAAATGCAATCTACTTCGATTTCCGACTACGTAATCCAATATTTCACGAGCGTATGAGCGACATTGAATGAGCCATATGAATTCGGGTCAGGTTTCATTTAGCCAGCCCTAATTATTGAGGACAAAGGACGGAACCATTGTCTTCTTCGAGTTAACTGGGCCTCATGATGCCGATTAGTTCTTAGAACCAATGTGTGGGATTCTTCATGGTGTCGCGCTTATTGGAAATTAACGGGAACACGCTAAGCGTGTCATCGACGACAGATATGTATATTTACACAATGCTTGTGATGCTATTAGTTTTATAAACATTGCGGTTAACGAATTAACGACTTTAGTGTCACACATTAGTCATAAAGACTTGTATTGAGATCTAACAATTTAAAGCCAGACAAGGCCAGACAAGTTACCTGACTGGGTGACGAAATACTCTCTTAGGTTTTTCATAGATGGTGCTACAGGTAAAAAGTCGTTGAAAACCAAATACAAAAATCTGGAAAACAAGCACATAGAAAAAAACGTGAGGTCTCCTAGAACATGTCGGTTCGAATCCAGCCGGATCGAAAGAATTTTTTTTAAGTGTTCGATCTTTGTATTAATAATTATAACAAACTAACGCAGTAATTTCACAAAAAAATAATCAATTCAATACAAGATTATATTAATTTATAAATTAGCTTTGAGGCGAATTACGGCACATCTAAAAATATTATATGTGTTAAACATTTTCATACGATTAGAATTTAGCAGTTTATCTGAAAGTTTCCTTTGGGCTAATAAAAGTATCAATATATCAATAAAAAAGTACCTATACATAATATCGCTCGTTGTGCAAAATAGAGAAATTTAACTAAATCAATACTTATTAGACAACAGTACATACGTTGCTCTGATCCCAAAGTACGTAGCTAAAGCTAACTTGTGTTATGGAAATCGGAAACAACGACGGTATCACCGACACCCAGACCCGAGACAATATAAGTGTGAGTTTTCTACGCTGACTCGGCCGAGGATCGAATCCGGGACCTCAGAAATGGCGACACCGTGAAAACCACTCGACCACAAAGGCCGTCTAAATTTCGTTTCCTCGAATTTGGAAACAACAAATTTAGACAAATTTAATAATTATTAATATTCACAAAAATGTTTGTTTATATATCACGACATCACGGTGTTTTACCACAACGATATTTTAATTATTTTTTGTCAAATTACTCCACTAGTTCGTTATAATCATTAAACGAAAAAGTCTCTTAAATCCAAACCAAACGTCTGTAACAAGCACATAGAAAAATTCGTAAGGTCTGTTGGTTCGTTCTGTAGCTCAGCTAAGTTAGCCACGTTATGGTGAAGGTACTGGTTCGAATCTCGATTTTCGTATAAATAATTATCATAAGAACAGTTCTTAACTATTTAACGATCATTAACACAAAGATCGATTACTCAGAAAATAATCCTTCGATCGGCCGGATTCGAACTGACGTCTTCTAGCTTACCGTGTCAGACGCTATACCAACTAAGCCACGGAACGAACCAGCGGTCCTCACGAATTTTTCTATGTGCTTGCGTCGTATCTTTGTACTTGGTTTTTTCAACGACTTTTTAGTGTAGTATTTAACGGTCTTTAAATCTCCATTATTGTTCTACTTCATAATACTTATAGTATCTGGTCATCTAGTTAAATTTCTAAGTGTAATGTTTAAGGCGAATACCGTAACCGAGTAACTTTAATTAAAGTATAAGTTTTTCACTTTGCTGAAGGCAAAGTTATGATGCAAGTATTTCTCATTAGACTTGACCTGTTTTCTGTCGTGGCCGTGGTATGAACTAATTTCATAGTTAAATCCCGTTAAGTTTGTAATCAAGAACTCTAGATACCTATACAATAATTTTAAGACAAAAATATAATGGTAACGGTATGTATAGTGATTTAAAAAGTTCAATGGAGAAAATTATTATCTGATTTTATTGCAAAAAACTTTTCTAAATTTTGCTAAAAAGTTCTGTGCTTTTTAATTGTAATTTTAGCAAGTTTTTTATGATACTGTCTATGGTGGTAATCAACACGCCTGTTCAGAATAGTTACAGTGCCACTTAGAGCTTTAATTCGTAATAATCTGAAGGCACTGGTACTGCGCCCGTCACCCTGAGACATCAGTTGACAAGTCCCATGTGCCTGTAATTCACATGGGACTTCATCAGCACCTTACCCTTCAAAAACGGAACACAGTAGTGATGACATCACTGCTTGGCGGGTGAAGTAAGTAAAGTGGCAGTACTTCACTGGACGAACTCATTCACAATGAGCTCTATTGGTACTAAAGCTCCTGCTGCGAATGATAATTCAAGGATAGCCCCTATTTTGTACGTGTAAATTTTATTTTTCTTGGCAGGTTTTCAATATGTAAATCCGTGAAGGTGCAAACAGCGTGCTCTTGGCTCTGGTGTGCACATCGCTCCATGCCACATGTCTGCAGATCAAAGCGGGCGCCGCTCTTGGAGGGGACACCTTGCGGAACCAACCACGTATGTACTAATGATAGGGTTAGCCAAAAAAAAATCGCGCGGTATCAAAGTAAAATGACAAACATTCAAAATAAATAGCTAATCTAACATTAAGCAATTATATCTTGGCCATGTTAATCCACAATCTTTTGCCGTATTTCCGGTAATTTTAAACATCCTCTTTCATAAAATGTCCCGTCTTTACTTATTATAAAATACAGCTCTAAGTGTCGTTTGATAATCTCATCGGGCTAGTGCTCGGAGAGCTAGTAGAGGAAGAGCTAGATTATTGCGCTTAGGTTACTGGGAACTGGAAAGATACCATTTTTCGGCATTGGGAAGTGAGCGTGTCTTAATGCTCCACCACCAATGAGGAGTTATTCGAATTAGGCACCATTCTGGTATCGCTTCATTCTATTTGTTATCACCGCGTCTTGCAATAACATCCTGCCCCGCTCCATCTCACTTTCGTTATCCGCGCTCCTATGTCTTAGAGACGAAGATAGACGTAAAGCAATCAAAGGAGAGACCAGGGAAAGAATGATCAAAGTCAATTAAAACACGTTTTGCGTTAATACCGCCATCCTTCGCTAAACGCTGAGCTTATTTTGCCCAAATCAGAAAAAGGCTAATAAGGTTCAATGTCCTTAAAAATCAGCTTTTACTTTTAGTCATAAAAATGCTTGCCAGTAAATAGTAAAAAAGTTAAAAATGATTTTTCACTTCTCATTCTCTTAAAGTTCGTATTTATGGTGGGTGTAGGCAGCATAAAATGGGATTTTATGCTCTAGTGCATAAAATAAAATCGTCGTTTAAGACCGAGGCAATGATGCCTGCGCCAACAGCCACGCACACTAGAACTTTATAAAATAAAGTTTTACTTTTGTTTTTTAATCCGCATTATATTACAAAATTAAAAAAGTAGGTAAAGTAATTCTTATAAGTTATAAGACATAGAAATGCATAAAAAATAAAAGATTGTAAAATATAACTGAGCATTATGCAGTCCGGTCTAAGTCACGTGTAGAAAAAAAAGCAGTACATTGACGGAAAGTTCTTTTTTTTCTTGGCAATCATTGTGTTATCGTTTATTTGTAATGTTACTGTTTAATTTCCTCGCAATCGAAGTGAAAAGCAGAGTGTATAACTCGTTCATAACAGTCATTTTACCCTCGACTTAAGTATCCAGGATATACTCGTCGCAGGTAAAATGACGGGTTTTATGCACTTGGTGTACAACCTACTTTATAATGTTTTTAGTTAAAATGGATTACATCGCGTTACATACATTTATGTCAGCATTGATATTATTTCAGGTAGTATTTATGTCTTTTTCACCAATATTTAAAAGTTCTCCAAATTAAAAATGCTTTTTTCCTAAAATTGTCCTCAACTGACTTTGATCATTCTTAGCCTGACCTCTTCGATTTTAATTCTGAAGTTTTAGTCTCTGAATTCTAAATTATTATTCAAATATAGGTCGTACTAGGCATATCTCATAATAGCATTGATTTATTGCTACGTATAACACTCTTATAAAATTTATCGAGGTTGAACTGTTTAATATAACACACGAACATTTTAATGAATAATCTAGAGTGAAATAATAAATAATAATGTGCGGAAACACATCAATTACCAGGACTCAAACTATCGAATTTCATATACTGTGAGCAAAGGAATTTTTGCTGGTGAAATTACAGGCACATGGGACTTGTGAACTGAGGTCTCATGGTGACGGGCGCAGTGGCAGTGCCCCTCAGATCTTTGCGATTTAAAACTCTGAGTGGCACTGTAACTGTTGTGGACAGACGGGTAGCGTAACATCAGGCGCACGACTTGTTCGTCCCGTGACTTGATATTATAAAAAAAAATCCATTCCGGGGCACAACTCAGAACACCCAGACCAGACATTTCATAGGTTTCTCAAGGGTGCGCTGAGGCTAAAAAAGCCGTTAAAACCAATCGTAAGGACTGCTGTCTCGTTACGTGACTCAGTTGGGAGATCAACAGGTCCGGTATGGCGGGGTCGCTGTTTCGAGTCCAGCAGGAGTTTTTCTTTGAGTTTGTTCTATGGCTGGTTTTTTGCCAACATGCCATCAACGTTAAATGGGCTCAGGAACAATATCTAACGCGAAATTGCCAACGTTTCGGTCGATATATATGGAAAATTTACTCCAAAGAATTGAACACTGCAAATGTGCAAATATTCTTATACCCACCGAGAGGTGGTCATACGAACGAGATCGTTTCCATTCTTAAATGTAACATGTGTACTTCACCTGGAATAAATTTGAGCTCGAATAACCCTGTAGAACACTAAATTAGATATAGACAGTCGTCATTTAGATAGTCACCAAACTTAGACATTAACTCGGAATGCATAAAAGGAGCCTCGTTGCAGTAGCGTACTTTTCACGTCCTCTGTGCGTCTGGGGCACCCTGGGCAACAATCGGCGAGTATATTACACCGATTGACAAACTCTTTCATCACAATGGCATACATGCCGACACTTCAGTTTGACGGCTATTAATAGTGACTCGGTTAGCAGCAATAACATCTGGGCCACAAAACATAATGTTTACTAGTGATATGATTGATAAGGAGAAGAAAGCAGAATCATCTTTTTCAGTCTTATTACATGGATATGAAGATTTTTCTCACCGACTTAGTGCGATTCCGTATCGATAAGTGTGTTGACTCGCTTAATTGCAAGCTAAGCGTGTTTAAAAAGATAAAATATGCAGTATTTAATAATTTCTATACAACCGTAATTGCTAAGCGAAAAAAGCCGTTCCACAAAGCTTAGTCACGCGAAAGTAATCAATAGTCCACATAAATACAGTTTTCCGTTGGACTGACGGCAGTGCATCAAATAGGAAATTGTCATTTAGCTAGTAATCTTAGAACTGCCACTAAAATCAACCTTAGTGCAAATAACTCTTTCACAGTCACAATACATTTTAGGTATAATGAATCTAGTTCTTTGTCCATTAGGTATACTGCTACATAGTAATGCGTTGGGTTAACAAAAGAAAGGGATGTAATGATTTTATTGAACATCATGATGTTTTATCACCATGATAATCATTTGTTTTTTTGTGAAAGAACTCCGCATTTGTTATAATTATTAATGCAGATATCGAACAGAAAGAAAACATCCTTCGATATGACAGGACTCAAACCTGCGTCTGTATGCCAAATTAGGGTCACCGCTCTACCAACTGGCCTACACGTCGAGTCAGCAGATCTTACAAATTTGTTTATGCGGCAATTTTGCGATTAGTTTTCTGTACATAATTTCGGTGGCAATTTTTATTATTTAAGTACCTATACGAATATATTATACTGAAATATTGAAAAATATTTTTAGGTTACTACACTCGAATATTAAATAATAATTCGTGATAATCTTCTGGAATATTTTATTAATAAAAATAGCCACCAAAATTATGTAGAGAAAACCTAAAAATAACCCGTATTTGTTACTGATCTTCTTGTATCGGGTTTTTTGAGATATATTTCGATTTTAACTACCGCGGTGGCCAAGTGATGTGCTACGTGAGTGGTGAACTAGGAAGTCAGGACATTTTCTAAATTAGATCAATTATACTATACTCATAATACAGGGAAATACCTATATAATAAGTTCTTTTTTATTATATCAAGTGACGGAACGAACAAGTCATGTACCTGATGGCAAGTTACATGCCCGTCCATAAGAGCTGCAGTGGCTTTTAGATCTTTAAATCGCAAAGATCTGAGGGGCACTGCCACTGCGCCCGTCACCCTGAGACATAAGTTAACAAGTCCCTTGTACCTGTAATTTCACCTTTACCCTTCAAAAACCGGAACACAGTAATGCTGACATTACTGCTTGGCGGCAGAAATAGGTAAAGTGGCAGTGCTCGACTGCTGCTAAAAGTCTGTAAGTATCGGGTAAATTTTCCACAGAGATAAAGAAAACCGCCGTGTACTTTTTCTTTTACTTGTTTTTTATACGGAATATCTTTTAAAAGTCTTTTATAACTAATTAACGAAAGTAAGAAATAAGTAATCAAAAGAAGACAGAGTCCTTAATACACAACACAAAGAGACTTGATCAATATATTGACATACGTGACGCACCGAGCTTGGAATTCCATCAACGTTCCCATTCCGTCCGTGTTCACGCATAAATTGCATGAATCCTTTGTTGAGAGTGGTTCTAAAAGTTTAGGCTTAAACAAGGACATTGTTTAATAAAAATTGAAGTAAATTACTTTGTTACACCGCGAATCCAGTGAAGGATAACGCGAGTCACCGGAGGAGAAGCGGAAAAAACTGTTTCGCTCGATCAAATGGTTTAAGTATGGTTAAGTAGGGTTTACTATTAAATAACGGTCTTACGAAAAATATACGACACACATAAAGAATGTGCTAATGCGTTACTCGATATGATGTACTTTATCCAATCATATAAAATCCTGAAAAAAAATTATCTACAAATAATTTAAGAATAAAATATGTAACTTTGTACATAATTTTTATATGAAGATGTTTTTCTTAAGTACTACAGAGACCCTGATAAATTTTGGATTTTAACTGAAGCCCTATTAAATTCACATTTATCCTAAAATTTGCAAATTGTCCAGCGGTTTTTATTTATTTTTATTGTTCGGTCAGTCGGCATCACGCGCTTGTCGACTTGGGATCTGTGTCACTTTTTCCGCCGGTTCTTATTTTATTAATATTAATTTACAACGCGCAGATTGAGTGACACGAGGAGGATTGACCACGCAATCCTCACCTCCTAAAATCTAGGTTCGCGTTGAAATACCTCGCCTTAAATCGAGCAAAGTAGCTGCGCTCGTGTTGAATAATTTTATACCCGACACGTCTTTCGCCTCTACATGGCATCCTCAGAGTCGTTGATTGCTCGATGCTCGGCCGAAGAATAAGCTCGCTCAGAATGGCTATTCATATCACATCCATATTTATCACACTAAGATCGTCGTGATAATTTGAAAATACCCGCACG